GATCCTCAGAAATCCTGGGGTCAAACGTACAGATCCCATACATCCCTGGCGTGCAGGGTGTTGTGTGCATGCTGTGCTGTGACATCAAGGACAACTGCTAAGTCCAGCCTGCTGGGACACAACCTGTGCTGCATGTACTATACATAAATTCCGTAACAAAAATATCCAGAAATAGTTTTAAACTCGTGTTACTTCTTGCTTGGCTTCTGCATAGTTTCTGCTGTTGAACTACTTTATTTTACCAAAAAAAAAAAAAAAAAAAATAAAAAAAAAAAAAATATATATATATATATATATATATATATATATATATATTTAAAACCCTTTCACCTGTGTAGAATTTCCCTCTCAATCTTCAACTGGATCGGTCTCCTTAGGTAATAGAATAGAATTCTTTAGACCTGTACTAGAAGAGTAATTCACTCTGGATCTTATAAATATGTTTAATTTATGTTATTTGCATAAAAGTAATCCTAGTTCTAATTTACCTACAAAAATATTTCACACACTGCACTTTGAACTTGTTTTTGACTTTTTAGTGAACTTAACACTGTGTCATGGTCAAGTCAGTCAAAAACAAGTCATGGGAAATCAGAAATAATGGGGCGTTGTAGTTTGCTGATTTAGTAAAACAAGAGAGAGAAAGACTAACTTGTTTATTTATTAGTATTATATATATTTACTACAGTTCCAAGTGTATCCTCTTACTAATTTCTTATAATAATGACCTTTGCTCCACTGCCCACAGATATTTTAATGCTGTTTTGACCAAGAACTTGTGAGCTAATTAGAAAAAAACCTTTCTGCATCAAGCAGTCCTTCTCTTCTCTTCTTGCAACATCCCCCAAACTCGAGTTCCCTACTCATGAGCACCACGTTTGAGACTTTCAACTGTTGCTACCTTTTGTATGAATGGTGTCAGTATTTCCTAGATAGCCTGTGTCAAGTTGAGTTTGATATATATTGGGCTAATAGGAGACAAAAAAAAATAAAACAAGAAAGAAACATGAATAACAGTGACTTGAAATGAATACAAAACAAATGAAAAAAAAAAATCTGAACTCTGAAAGATTTATTCAACTTTTATGTCAAATGGAAAAGGTAGGAAAAATTGCTGAAAACAGAAGGTGGCAACAACTGCTGCATTGTGACTGTACTTCCTTCAGTTCTGATTGGAAACATTTGCCACTGGAGTGGAATAAAAACCTTCATGAAAAATGAATGCTGTTTGTGTACCTCTCAGATTATTTCCTTTTGAACTTTCAGCGCAGTCACGGGGCCCAAGAGCTCAAACAGTCACAGGCACAGAATACAAGTTGACAAAATTCATCTCCATTCAGCAGCCCAGCAGTTACCACAGTCTTCAACAGGTCACTTCATTCCTCCTTTTCTGCCAGCAAAAGGAAAAATAAGACTATTTGTGTACCTCATAAAAGAAGAGCAGTATTGCAGTGATTACTGAAAAACAGAGTTTGTTAACAATTCTGAAAAAGTAACTGTCCACTTACCAAGTTCTATCAGGGGACAGGATTTTGACAACTAAGTCTCCTAAACAAACACAGCAGAAAAATGCAGAATATCTTATTTTTAATTCTTATTACATATTAGTACAGAAAATGAAGAATCTTTGTGTTACAGCACAGGTGATATGGTTTGAGCGTGCTGTCCAAGACATTCTCAGAAGCATTTTGCTTTGGCTACACCATTATTTCTGATTTTTCCCACCTGGCAATATTCTTTTGTTACAAAACTTTGCAAACACTGCCAGGCACTGGCAATAACAAATTATTATTTCTTTTTGTCCTAGCAACATCACTCAGTGTAAGAAATTAGGAGTAATCAAAGTGTAAGAAGTAGCATTAGAATTACTGTGAGGAATTACTTTGTCAGGAGATGGAGCACACTGAGGAAGACTCATGGAACGAAATGTTCATGGTGTTAATTGTGCCAGTCTGGGAGCTGTAATGTCACCTTTTCTCCTTTGGAGAGTGGAGTGCTGCATGAACTGCTCGACTGATCAAGGAGTTTGGGCTGGAGCCGCATTTCCTGGGACAAAGGAGAAGGATGAAGAAAAAGACCTTTCAGAGGTCATTCAGTCTGGCTGATAAAGGATTATTCTCTGCAATCTTTATTTTGTTCAGTTCTAAAATTCCCAATCAACTAAGTCCCTACAAGTACTGTAATTTACTCTGGAAATTTTTTCATTTTGATACTTGATAAAAATTTGGTATTGGTGTCAATGATTTTGCTCATTCATCATCATCTTCATCAATGATGATATATGAAAAATATATATATATATTCTAAATGCATAATAATATATTTAGAAGAAAATTAAATGGTCTAATGACCTTTTAGTGCATTTAAAGCAGTGACACAAGGAACAGGGCTATTTAATGCTCCTGCCTGGCAGAGATGAGATGGAAACCCGAAGCATTTTTCAGGCAAAAGGAGGAAGAGAGGGGAGAGAACCCCCCACTTTGGGACTTCTTGTCCAGTAATTTCAGAGCCTCAGCAGATGAATTTCCCTTGATAAAGAGGCACACACTGCAATCTACTGCAGTGCCCTGGCAACGGGACTGGAGATGACCAAGTTGATACCAGGTGCTGCAGGAACAGAATTTCACTCTGCTCAGCCTTATTTTGTCAGCCATGGCAACTCCTTTGCCAACTTTGGTGCAAAATCAGGGCCCTCTCAGCCACTTTTTACACAAGCCATGTCTCATACCCAACGATTCTTCCCTAAGATAATCCAGAGAGACAGTAACAAAGCTAAAATTAGAAATCGGGAGCTGTAGCTTCCAAGGAAATGCACATTACGTGACATTTTTTCATTACCACATGCATTTACTGTTAGCAAAAATGGCCTAGAGAGAACACTCCACAGTGAAAAATCCTCTCCCAAAACTCAGGGGTGGGTGACAACGTGGTGTTTTACTCAACAAATAAAAAAAATAAAAGAAACAGTAAAGAATTATATAAATAATTAATTCTGATGATTAAATAAGAGCTATAGCATCACAGCCTATAATGGCATCACCCAAACCATGCAGCTGATTTAAAAAATGATGTATGCAGTGAAAATACCAATCTATGAAGGCACCATAACCTGTTCAAATAATACAATTAATACACATCATACAATTAATAATTCTCCAGAATAAGTTAATGTGGTAAAACTTCATTTATATATACACCTAACGTTGAAAACTGTAAACTTATGGAACATTTCACTGATCACAAGTGGTGAAAATCATCTTTGTACATGAACTCTGGTATTTATTTGAAGGACTTGGCTGCTAACAGGAATTTTAAGATGCTTTACTTCAGGAATATGTGAAAAGGAAGAAAAAGGAAAAGGAAAAGGAAAAGGAAAAGGGAAAAAGCTTTGGCCCTCCTGAGCTCTCCACACCCAGCAAATTACAAGGAAATTTGGAAGTGCACAGTTGGGAAAATGTCACATCACAACCCAACAATTGCATACAGAAGCTTTCCCTGAGTAGTGTGGTCTCCAGACTGGTGGGGTAGCTGTGGTTTACTATACACACAGCAGTCCTAGAACTATTTAAAACAGCAGGTAAAACAAATATTTTATATCTGTCCTCTATTTAATATTTTAAATAGGTAAAACGAGAATTTTATGTCTATCCTCTTGAAGTGCATTCTGCACACACTACCTTGGACTGCCTAGCTGTGCCAGGCAAGACTTTACCACTGGAGAACGTATGGTTTAATAGACTCTTTAATTCAGAAATAATTCCACCACCATTTGCATAGCAGAACGGCTTCAATGCTCCTCCCAAATCCTCAGACCTACAGGCAATCACAGAAACAGCACAGCTGGGTAATGGAAGGAATGCTGGAAAACATGCTAGCACCTCCTGGAAATGGCCTAGGAAGCACTCAGGTGACCCCCCTGCCATGTTAACTCCACGCCACCTCCTCCCCAAGGAGTAACATTACATATTTATCCACCGGGGACAGGAAGGTGACCAGGCCTGCTATAGCCGAGCTCTTGGTGTAAAAACCAAGAGGTGGCTGCATGGAGGGCTGGCTCCTCCCGGGCTGGCTAGGGACCTGCTCACCTGCTCAGCGGGCTGGGGTGGGTGCCTGCAGCCCCCAGGCTCCCTCATGGCCTCCACACCCCGCAGGCACCTCCACCCCGTCCCTCCCTCATGGCTCCCAGCCCTTCATCCCTCATTCCCACTGCCCCTCCAATCCCTCATCCCTTCCAGCCCTGCTGTCCCCCATCTCTGCCACCCTCAGCCCCGGAGCACACCCCACTTGTCCCCCTCAACTCTGCAGCCCCTCAGCCTTCACCCCCCAGAGCCCCTCATTCCCTCACCCCCCTCTTTTCCTTCGTTCCTCTCATTCCCTTTATCTCCTCGCATCCCTTATCGCCCTCATCCCTTTTGTTCCCGGCATCCCGCCATTCCCTCATCCCCCTCACTCCTTCATTCCCTCATCCCTCTCATCCCCTCATCCCATTCCCTGACTCCTTTATCCCCCTCACTCCTTCATTGCCTCATCCCTCTCATTCCTTCATCCTCCCATTCCCTCATCCTTCTCCTCCCTTCATTCCCTCATCCTTCTCATTCCCCCATTCCCTCAGTCCTCAATCGCCCTCACACCTTCATTCTCTCATCCCTCTCATCCTTCTCATTCCTTCACACCTCATTCCTTCATCCCTCTCATTCCCTCAGTCCTTCATTCCCCCACTCCCTCATCCCATTCCCTCAGTCCTTCATTCCCCCACTCCCTCATCCCATTCCCTCACTCCTTTATCCCCCTCAGTCCTTCATTCCCTCATCCCTCCCATCCTCCTCGCTCCCCCATTCCCTCATCCCCCCCGTTCCCCCCTCATCCCCTCACTCCCCCATTCCCACCCACACCGAGCCGCGCGCACGCGCACTCGGCCCCCGTCCCCTGCCCGGAGCGGCGGAGCCGCGCATGCGCAGCGGAGGCGGGGCCGGCGCGCTCCGGGAGCGGCGGGAGGAGGAGGAGGAGGAGGAGGAGAAGGAGGAAAAAGAGGAGGAAAAGGAAAAAGGAGGAGGAGCGCACGGTACGTGAGGGGCGGCGAGCGGGGCTGGTCCCTCCCGCTCTCCCCGACCCTGTCCGCCGGGGCCGGGAAGACCGTGGAAAGGAGGAAAACGGAAAATCTGTGCGGGGCTTGCCTGGCCTCCAGCAGCCGGCCAGGCCCGTGTCCGAGCGCAGGGGATTCCTTCACGGAGTCTGGAGAAGGGAACGCTGCCAGGGCATCCCGTCAATGCATCCCAACATCTCCAGGGGCTGCCAGAGCACGGGCCGGGCTCTGCTCGGTGCTGCCAGTGCCAGGCTGAGCAGCAGTGGCCATCAAATAAAGGGCAGCGAGGTGCAGGGCAGCAGGAGGGAGAACTTGTGTCCATGGAGGGACAGCAGAGCCCTGGAACAGCTGCCCAGGGAGGGCCTGGAGTGTCCCTGGCTGGAGACATCCCAGCCCCAGCTGCACCTTCCTGTGCCCCTGCCCAGGGCACCCTGCCTGGGCAGGGCTGGGCTGGGGAGCTCCAGAGGAACCTGCCAGCCCCAGGGGTGTGGGATTCGGTGATTCTTCACAGCTGCCGTTTTCCAGAAGCACACAGTTTCAATCCTGTGAGGGAGCTGTGCACTCTCCCTTTTCAATGAGGGCGGTTTGCGTCCCTTCCTCTGGGCTGGGGCACTTGGGGAATTGCAGAAACACCTCCACTGTATGTTTCCTGCTCTTCCCCTTTCCTGGCATCCAGGAGGCACAGAGCCTTGCGTTAAGTGCCGTTGAGAGTAATGTGTTTCAAGTGCTAATAAATAACTTTTGTCGTGGGCAGGCAGCATGATGATGTGACTCAGGGACAGATACTGAAAAATAATGAGCATTGCCTGACATGCTGTGTCACTTGTGTTTCTTGTTAAGGAGAGGTGTGATCTGGTTGTAATAGTTACAGGTAATTGTTGTGATAGCCACTGACAGGACAAGGAGAATGGCTTTAAAATTGGAAAAAGTAGGTTTGGAGTAAATAATGGGAAGAAATCCTTCCCTGTGAGGGTGGGCAGGCCCTGGCACAGGGTGCCCAGAGCAGCTGGGGCTGCCCCTGCATCCCTGGCAGTGCCCAAGGCCAGGCTGGACACTGGGGCTGGGAGCAGCCTGGGACAGTGGGAGGTGTCCCTCCCCATGGAACAAGATGAGTTTTATGGTTCCTTCCATCCAAACCATTCTGTGATTCAGTGGTTTGTTTGTGGTGCTGCCTGATGTCCACAAACACATTAAACCAGCTCTGTTTATGACACAACCTCATTGAAATGGGCAAGGGTGGGAGGGGGGCAAGCAAAAATGACAAAATTATCTGAGAAAAATTTCATCTTCAAAACCCTGTGAGAAAACCCTTTGAGGGACAGGGAAGGTTTTGAAACCCTATTTTTGGGCCACAGAGAGCTGCACTGCAAAATACATGTTAAAAGTGCAGCTCTGGGCTGCCCAGTACAGGGAAGACACCAAAATACTGGAGCCAGTCCAGCAAAGAGCCCCAGAGGTGATTAAGGGTGTTTGGTGGGGCAAGGTTTAGAGAGCTGGGAGGAATGAGCCTGGAGAAGAGAAGGGGTCAGTGGGATCTTCTGAATGCCCATAAATACATGGTGGGAAGGAATGAAGAAGATGGAGCCAGGCTTCCTTCAGTTGAGGCAACAAGCACAAACTGACAGGTAAATGCTTCCAGTTAAAACAGAAGAAGAAAATATTCCCTGCTGTGGTAATTGAGCATTGAAACAGGTTCCCTAGAGAGGCTGTGGCTTCCTCATCCTTGGAGATAGCCAAAACCCAGATGGAAACAAACCCGAGCAACCTGCTGGAGCTGACACTGCTGAGAGCAGGGGGAATGGACCAAAGGTCTCTTCCAGCCTCAGCTGTTCTGCAGATTCAGGATTCCCTGATGGAATTGAAGAAAAGTCTTTGTATTATTTAAAGCAATAGGTTTTTTTTTTCCCCTTATGCTTTGTTATTTTGCTATTCAGCTGCTATGATTTAGTGAAATTTCTCGGTGTTTTTCTCATCTGCCAGCACTAACCTTCGGTTTGCTCTGCAGCTATCCTGTGGCATGGCAGGTGAAGAAGACTTCCTTTTGGAGGAGAAAAGATTCAAGCAGTTCTGTGAAGAGTTTGTTAAGCATTCACAACAGATAGGAGATGGCTGGGAGTGGAGAGCCAGCAAGGTAAAGCAATCACAGCATTGGCTTCTAGAGGCTCTTGGTGGGCTTTTTGAGCCACCACGAGGTGAAACATCCTTTAAACTGCATGGGTGTGTTGAGGTGAGGGCTTAGGCCCGTGCAGGTTTTGGACAGGGCTGTAGATCTCTGAATCATGGCCAATCTATCAAAACCCTTGTTCAGCTCTGGGCAGAACCGGACAATGAATGTGGTGTCTCTGTGAAATTCAATCCCTCCTACTCTGGTGAGGTTTTGTATCCAAGGTTCACTTTAACCCTTTAGGCTGAAATAGCACATAGCCTTTGTTCTAGATCCTTGGCTTAGTACTTCCATTGCAATACCTGTCAGTTGCATACAGCAACCAGAAGTGTCTGCCAGTGTTCATGATCAATTCTTATTATTTGCTGCTTCTCCATAACTTTCAAACCTCTGCAATAATAACTACATATTGTTTCTAGGTCATTAATCAAAATTTTAAATAGCACAGGGCTAAGACTAGTCCCAAAGGACCCCATTAGAATCACTTCTTTTATGATGATTTACCCATTTTTTAAGTTACACTTTGAGATCTGTGAATTAATAAATTTTCATCCTATAGCATGTGTAAGATCAGTGTGGGATTGTTTTAATTATTTTAAATTTCCACTTGTGGAATCCACAGATATCTTAGGAAATTCTAAGCATGTATTGTTCCGACTTGTATGTTTATCAACCGAACATGTCTTCTGAAATTACCCTGACAAATTCTGTTTTCTTTAAGAAGAATGCTTTTCTATACATATTTTTTCATTTACTGAGTTCTACATGACTTTTGTTATTTTGCTCAGGATACTGTCAAACTAATATGTGTATAGGTACACAAATTATCCAGTATATGTATTATAGTATATAAATATATATTGATACAGTATATAAAAATTTATTGTTACAGTATATGAAGATGTATTGATCCATGCTGGCTTTCTCCAGCATGTAGGTTTCCATGTTCTCTTTTTTGTGTTTTCTATCTTTCTATTGTAGAAAATCTGCTACTCTAGCTTTTTTTTTTTTTCTTTAGAGTTTAATGGCTTCAGTGTTTTCCAACTCATGTTTTCTTGAATTTTTTTGGAGAAAAGTCATGCTTTTTCCAATGTGTGCCATTGTTTTTACATGTGTAGCTGTACATTAATATTTGTAACCCTTCCATCACAGACAATCAGAGTTTCAGTAAGAGGGAGAAGAGGGAGTACCTTGGACTTAGATTTGTTCTATTGAGGAGTTTTTATAAGAGTGCAAATATTAGCCAAGTGTTACAATGCACCCTTTCTTACAGAAAACCATTTGAAACTTTAGATTTCAGTTCAAGGCTATATTTGTGAGGATTTATTCAACAAAGAAAGATGCTCTGAGCCTCTACTGGGAATTTAATACATGGGTCAAAGTCTGAACTTTCTGTGAAATAAGAAGCTTTGCTGGAAATAGCAGAATGAGATAGATTTTTTTGTTCTCATATAAAAAAATTCTAAGAGGGTTGTTTTCTTTTTTTAATGGGCCAAGTTGGCGACTCTGTGATTTCAGTGTTTGATAAAAACCTGGCCATGGAGACCATCCATTTACAGTGTGGAGTCTGAGAAGAAAGCTTTTCCTCAACAAGATGTCTCATTGTCTTCTTGCCTTTTTTCCTTTTTAAACCAGTATATGTGTTGTGGGTAGTTTGGGGCACTCTTAATTTTGCTGATGTAATGCACTTGGATCCCATTCCTCATTCCTGACTCACGTGAATAGACCCATTGATAGCAGAGAGACCACACAAGTGAACCAGGCTGGTAGAACTGTGTTCCCGTGTTTTCTGTGGAGATTAAATTTAGATGATGAAATACTCATTGTTCTCGTGGAGCTGGCTCTTGGTGCACAAGCTCACATGGCCCAGGCAGAACCCTGTATTTATAGCTGTAACTGAAATGTTCCAAATGATGTTATTTTTATAATGTGTTTTCTTGGTTTGGGGTTTTTTTTTCCACCGGAAGAAAGCTGTAAAAAAGCCAAGAGCACCTCTCCTGCAGGAGCTGGTGGAGCTGAACTTGGGTGCTGCTGTTAAGGATGAATGGTTAAATCTTGCTGTGGAGGTCGAGATTTAGCTGAGGAAAACAAGGCCCTGCTTGCTCTCTGCTTTGTGTTTGTTTCACATTTATTGAGGTTAATCCAGGTAATCACACCAAAAGCTGCATTAGTTCCCTTTGGCTTTTGGTACGGCTGCACTAGGAAGGGACTCCCTTAGCACATTAGTGGGATCAGGGTTCTGGCTACAGCTGTGATTTATAGGGGTGTAGAAGAGTACAAAACACCACGGAGTGCAGCAGGAGGGATGCTGCTACAGAGACTGCTGGCTCCAGGTCTCCATCCATCCATCCATCCATCATCCATCCATCCATCCATCCATCCATCCATCCATCCATCCATCCATCCATCCATCCATCCATCCATCCATCCCTCCATCCATCCCTCCATCCATCCCTGTTTTCTCGTGGCACTCACAGAGTGCAAGGGCTGTGAAGTTTGGCTGCACTCTCCTGGCGGGGGAAGAACCAGGTTCAGGGAGGAGGAGGAGGAGAAGGAGGAGGAGGCTCAGTGCAGCCCTGCTCTGGCACAGCTCGCTGTGCCGTGGGGCATTTCTCCTCTGTGGGTGGCTGCAGCCCTTCTTCTGCTGCTCTTAGCTGCACAAATACCTGTGCAGGGATCTTTCCTCCTGCTGGCACTGGTGGGAAGCTCCACGAGGAGATGCTTGAGAGGGAGTTGAGAGCGAAAGGAGTGGATTTTCTATCACCAGTTTAGGCTTAGTTTTTCTTTCACCATTCTCTGGGCACTGGGTTCCTCCCTGCATAGGCTGCACTTGGCTCTGCAGCCAGGACTTGCAGGAAGATTTGGGGGGGGTTCATGCTCTTAACAAGATCTGTTGAGAAAATCAGGCATAATGTAGAAGAAGTCAGCAATGTAATTGGCTGTACTGTTATTCATGCTTAAAAACCAATGGAAAAAGTACACGTAGAGTGCATTATCCTTTTTTTAATGTGTGAAACTTGATCAGAACAAAGTAAACAAGTAGCTCATAGTAGATTTTGGAGGTACATTTATCTACAGTGTCTTTGGAAAGAGAGAACTAGTGTGTCAGTATAAAACCTGTGATGGTTTGAAGGTAAAAATAAATGGCATAAACTGTGTCAGCAATGACAAATTAACCAAAGAGTTAAATCATAGTTAAATTTGCAGTCTTGTCTAAAAATTTAGTGCTATGTTAATGAATTTTGTAGTGAGACTGTTTTGAATAGAATCCTTTTTCATCAGATGTTGTGCATATGCTGTTTGTCTAAAATAAAATGTAATGAAACAGCTAATAAACTCCCAATTTATTTGTTTCCTTTGAGAAGTAAATCCTCAATGAGCAACTACTGTTCTTTGTGTTCTGTACTTGCTTTCCTCCTTTCAGAGTGTACCTGTTATTAAACATTTTCTCTCCTCTTGCTCCTAATTAGGAAAAATAAAATGTGCAGGTAGACAGGCCAGTAAAGCAGGAAAACTCCTAAACCTTTCTTCTGCCACTCTGGGATTGTTCAAGGGCACTTAACAACTCTGGCCTGGGAAGCAAAATGATAAAATGGGAACTGGGAGAAGGCACAGCTTCGTCTGTTTTCTCTTACATTTCACCTCAGAGGTGATCAAGAGAAGGAAACAAGTTGTGACTCTGCATACATAAATTCTGAAGCGGTTTTGGTTTTGTTTTGTTTTCAGAACTTTGTAAAGTTAGAGGGGGATACAGAGCAAAACCAAACCAACTTTGCAAGAGCTGGGATGTTAATCCTGGCATGAATGCATTGAAATAGGTCAAAATTGCTAATAGCTCCTCATCTCTTCATCACCTTGGTGCACTGCCTTCCTGTTCCTCGGCACTTATCCTGATCCCCAGGGTGCAGTTGTCTTATTCCATTAATAGCTGTATTAAACTTTATTTTTGCTGTGGAGGTCTTTGACTTCCTTCAACACCAAGAGCTGGTGTAAACCATCCGTGAGAAGGTGCTGAGGAGCACTGCAGTCATCAGTGCCTATAAAAAGACTTGGAGCCTGTGCCTAAATACCATGCTCTGTTTATTTTCTAGAACAGTGAAGGCATTTACCGTTTTGGTTACAGAAAATGTCTTTTTTCTTTCTCTTTTTCTGAACGCAGGACCTTGGTGATGGTTACCTTAGTAAGACACATTTCCAAGTAAGAAACAGACACATCCCACCAGACCTCAAGGAGGAAAACAATGAAAACAATGATAGCGCTGAACAAATGTTATTTGCACATGTAGAAGTAAGTACACGTTTTTGAACTTATGTGTTTATAAAATAAGTAATAAAAATAAAAACCACTATGCTAGTAAGTCCTTCCAGCAAGACTTCAGATCTGAAGTTACCAGTGGCTTTGAATTAGTTGTCATACAGTTATAGGAAAACTAATTAATACTCCTCATTGAGCTGTATTGATGATGAAAATTGGGAAGAAATGAAAAAGATTCCAGCATCTTTTGTGTAGGTGTTCTCCTCATAGAATAATATTTCTTGGCATTTTTGTTCAATAACATTAAAGAATTTTTTTTTGTGTGTGTGTGTTTGGAAAAAGGTTAATCATCAAGATTTATTTAACTTAGAGGTAAATGTTAATTAAAAGAATAAAGGAAACTTTGAGGTTAATACTCACTTGAAGTGATATTTATTGAATAAGACTTTTATACTCAATGGCTACTTTTCTACTGTGGAACTGACTTAAAGACTGAGCAATTTTTTGAAACTGGTGGGGGGCAATGAGGTGTTCCTGAAGGAGAATAAGTGTCTTTCTTCCAGAAAATGAAAACTCTGGTTGGACTGATCTGAATAATTACTTGCTTGCTTGAGTCTTCATTAGAGCTCCAGATTATTGACCAATCAGGATATACATGACAGGGATGCCCTCCCTTGTTGTGTTGTTACCTTAAAAAGGAAAATAAATCTTGGATTATAATAGACTGAAAGCAATGTACTGTGTATGCTATAAGCTGTTGAATAGGTGGATGTGGTAAACTTTGCAGGTACCTTTCTCTGCAATTCCTTTCCTTTTTCATCAGCACTCTGATTGCAATTTTTTTCCCCACTGAGACTCTGGTACATTTAAGACATTTCTGGTCTGAAATGAGTATTCTTTTGGCCTGGTTTCTAAAGGAAATGGCACTTAAAACAATTGTGCTATTAGGCTGTGACACAGTCATTTCTACTGATTTTTGAGCTCACTCACAGGTTTCAGCTGCCTTTAAAGAGGGATAGGTATCCAAGTTGTTTAATGAATAGCTGAGGCATTTTTCAAGTTTTTCTTTAAACTGTATTCTCGTATTTTGTAGAAAGAAGGTGGGCATCAGTGCTTCAGGGGTTGCCATTTAATTGTCATTAACAACAGTGTTTGTTTACTTCAGTCCTGACTTGTAACAAGAGATTACTTTTTATATTGGAAATTGCTTTTGATTATTGTGACCTTTTTTGCCTTAAATAATGAATCAAGTCTTCATTATTGAGTGCATTTTAAAAGAACACCTGTAAGAAGCGATTGAGTCCTTTTCTGGTGTCAGTTACAGAAAATATCATAAAACAAAAGAGACTTCAGAGTCTCTAACACACTGAAATGTTAAATACACTGAAATATTATAATAAATAATGCACTGAAATAAGATTCCAGGCCAGGTTTTGTGATTTATCAAGGTACTGAAGTGAGCAGTCCTTGAGATATTTGGAAAGATTTCTTTGTTTTGAGCCACAGTAATGTGCAGTTTGGAAGGACCCTCTTGGAGAAGAAACCTTTGTACCTGTCATGTAGGAGCAGTAAAGATGAAGAGTGAAACAAGAGAAAGGTCTCAGAAAATTATGGAGGTTATTAGACCATAAGGAAAATAATTTACTTTCTTCTCCACAATATTCAATGCCTAATAGATACGATGTAAAATTTACATTCTACATTGAGCTGAAGGGTAGCCAGACTGTTAAAGTTATTTAATCTATCAAATAGGAAAATGAAATTTGCTTTGGATATGTACAGTAAAGCTGTGTGTTTAACACTAAGAAATATGAAAATGGTGACTGTAGAGAGGTTACATTTTCTTAGGCACAGTAGTTCGTGTGTAAGATGCATGTTCTTTTTCATAGATATTGAGTGCTAGAGACCAATTCCACTCTTAATAACAATCTGTTATTTAAATAGGTGTTAGGTTTTAGGGGTTTTTTTTTAGTTTTAATATATGTTGTACCCATAAATCACATGGTGTAATGGAATTACTGCAATCTGTTTGAGTAAGTTATTGAAATGCATTCTGATGAAAAGCAAAAGTTGTGATCTTGGTGGAAAATGAAAAGATTTCTTCTGGCTATATGAATTCAATATTTTCTTTTTTTTTTTTTAAATAAAAAAAATATTTTTATATATTTGGAGCTTAAAAAAGCTTTAAATAGGAAATAAAATTTACTTTGATTTACTTTGTTAAAAAAAAACAGCCATTGACTGATAGTTGCATGTTTCACAATTTTCAGTTCCTGAGTTACTGTTATGATCTTGATTTTTCTGTATTATATCTCTATTATTTGTATCTTACTGGAATATTTCCATCTGACTAATCTGATCTCCTCCAAGGTGTGGCAGATACGATGCATATGCAAATAATAATAAACCAGGAACAGTAAGAAAGGAAAAATAAGGAAATTAAGATCTGAGTAATCAAGATTCATTGTTAGGAACAATCAGTGTTGACACAAATAAAAAAAGAATGTGCTGTGGGATATGGCAAGGCAGAAGAGGCCAGGAGATTTCCCTCCCCTCATCCTGGCAATCCACTTCAAAGGTTAGAAATAGAACATCAGTTTTGGCAGAACAGGTGAAAAATTTGGAGGAAAATCAGAAGATAGATTTTTGAAGTGAAGTTATGGGAAAGTTATTCATAGTGAGGATTTAACTCCTGTGTAAGGGATTGAACCCAAGACACATCAGGGAGGAGGTGATGTAGAATAAATAATAAATATATCCTGTTGTAGTGGGGTACAGTTAGGATGTTAAAACTGCTGAGGGGCAGAATTATCATTGCTCTACTCATTTTTAGTGTGAGTTTACTCTGTGAAGAGACACTGAAACCTAATGATATGATGAAGAAAATACACAAATAGCCTGAAGTAACTTTATTCAAATAGAAAATCAATTATCAGTTATCACAGCTTCAAAAATGTGCTAATCTTATGGGATCTACTGGAAACCTGGCCATTTTACTTGGAGTTTGTTTCACCTCATTGATTAGCATGGATGGTTAATGTTTCCAGCCTTCCATCTCATTGATTGGTGTCTAAATATCAGGAGCCTTCCTGGTGAGGGAGTGATGAATAACTTTGTATTCTGGTCTTTTCCACAGAGCAGTCTGTATTATGTGCTGGTTCCTTTTATACAAGTTGTGTTTCCATCTGAAAACCAAGAATAAAATTCTATGTGGGTTTCTTTCTGCTTATTTTAGATATCTGCAATATAGAGCTTGTCACTTAAATCTTTGTTTCAGCCTGAGGAGGTAAAGAAGCATTTTTGGGTATAAATCAGTTGACCTATTTTAGGTGTCTCCTCTAAGAGAGGATGAGTCTAGAAGTGTGTGGTTTTCCTCAGGGGTGATCCAGGTTAAGCTGCATGGCTGTAGATGCCTGCATGTTGTCATGTGAGCCCCCTGCCACAAAAGGTGGCTCTGGGCTCCTCACAGCACTGGGAATTTGTGCTGGTGACTTCGCTGGAGCTGAGATTTCACCCTGATGGTGGAGCTCATCCTTAGTTGAGGGTTGTGTTTTGTGAAGTAGCAACTTAAAGACAGTTTAAGGAAGTTTGTCTTTTTATACTTGGCAGTGTCTCAGTTGTCAAGCTGTTTATCTTAATGAGCTGCCTGGGGATCCTGTCTTAGGCAGACCCTATTTTTCCATTTTTCCTTCCTCCTGGAAGAGGGTTCACACGGCTCTTCTGGTGTGCCATCCTCTGTTTTTTGTGGTTTTCGTTTAATCGAGATGTTTATTTCAACATTCTGAATGGTAAACAGAAACTACTAATGGCATTGTGACTGATAATAAACTTCAGGCCAAGTTGGTGGAGGATGCTCTTCTGACCAATGAGATGAGATTCAGTCCCCTGGATATGAGCTGAAGAGTCATAAACCTTTTAGAGTCTCTTCCAAAAGAATAAAAATAGCCTGAGATGCAAAGCAAGGGACAGATAGGAACACATGGGCGCCATTTGAAAAATTTTAAGTTGCCATTTTGTTCTGGTTAAATTTTTATTGAATCAGTTGTTGCCTTTCTGAGCTGTTCTGACTTTATGCCAGCTGAGTGTCATCTGTACTTTTCCACAGACAGCATAAATCTTGTGTAACCACCATAAAGCGTTCTGGCTAATTCAACAACAATCTTCAGCATGTATTCTTTCTTGATCCAAATCAAATCTGTCCTCCCAGGACATCTGTCAGGGTCTTTATCAGTGAACATGGGACTGTGTCTTCATTTCTAGCAAGGACAGAACAGTTACATACGTTATTGCATGAATTGTTGATAAGGTGAAAAATACTGTACAAGATTCAAAGTGAAGGTAGTTCTCCTGCCTCAAAGAGCTTATACTCTAAACGAGTAAAATGGGAAAATCTGGATTCACTTTATGCGTTCTCTTTGTTTGTTATTCAAATAGCCCAAGGGAAGCAATAACTTGGAGTAATAATTCTCAGTGTGTGGTTTGTCTCAGCTCCTCTGGGTATTGCAGAAGAAGTGAGTCAGCATGGAACCATTCCTGGAGCTGGAGCCACTGCCACTTTATAAAGGAGTGGGCAGGTTGGGAATGCTGAAGGTCTGCTCATACCTGATACTGCCTTTGGAAAACGAGCACTGAGCCCCAGCAAAAACTGATGAAGTTGTGCATTTGCTGCATTGTGGGCTCCACCTTTGCTGGCAGCTGTTATTGAGTGTTGGTCAGGTCCTGCCTGGTGGGGGGTGTGGCAATGAGTCTGACATCTTTCTTAAAGGTCCTGATTCCATAATTTGCTGTTCAGCTGGGCTTTTAAGATTGTAGAAAATAGAAAACTACAATTTTTAGCAATTATTGATAATTTTTTCTCTAAACAAATCCAGTATTTTTACAATTAGGAACAGCTCCTTTTTGTTTTTTCTGTGCAAAAATAAATAAGATGAACACAGTGTAAACATTTGCATAACCACAGTATTTGTTGGATGGTTAAGTGAAAACCCAGCAAACAGTGCTTAAGGAGAATAATGTAAATACATTTAATAGAA